GGTTGTATTGTTCACCATCAGAGTGAAGGTTGGTTGTATTGTTCACCATCAGAGTGAAGGTTGGTTGTATTGTTCACCATCAGAGGGAAGGTTGGTTGTATTGTTCACCATCAGAGAGAAGGTTGGTTGTATTGTTCACCTTTAGAGTGAAGGTTGGTTGTATTGTTCACCATCAGAGTGGCGAGAGTCTTGACTCGGACCACTGCCCTCTTGAACTGAGATGTTCATTTCCACGAGAAAACACAAATAGATTTGCACAATGTAATAGCACTAACTCGGCAGATAGATTTGTATGGAATGAATTGCATAAAGATGAATTTGTACACTGTCTTAGTGATCGTTTGGCTGAAACTTCACAGACTCTTCTGACTACGCTAAACACTAACATAAACGATGCAGTTGATCTTTTTGTAAATCTACTACTTGAGTCAGGGCAGTGTATGAAAAAAACAGTTCTTGGAAATAAACCACGTAAATATATTTTCAATTTAAACAGCGAGTGTAGAGAACATAGGAGATCAGCAAGACGAGCGCTAAGAAAGTTCCGTAAAAATAGATCTGAATCTAATAGGAAAACTTATTGTCAGTTACGCAACAAATATAAAACAAAATGTAAAAGCTATTTAAAATCCCTTAAACTTACCAAATTAAATCGTCTAAATGCCTCATTATCAAACCCAAAACGGTTCTGGAGAGAAATTATCATCTGTTCAGAATAATGTCACAGGCACAGAGTGGCTGACTTTTTTTAAGCATGTGTTTGGCAATGATCTTATATTCCATGATGTTATTGAAAATGAGCATGACGATATTGCTGTTTATAACCCATCAGATGCTGAGTTTGACATTCTTGAATCCGAAATAACAAGAAAGGAAATTCTCGATGCTATTAACTCACTTAAACCTGGAAAATCTCCAGGCCCTGACAATATCTTAGCGGATATGCTGAAGAGTTCCAAACACATAACTGTTCCATTTTTGCATTCTCTCTTTAACGACATATTCAACAAAGGTATATTTCCGTCAATTTGGTCAAAATCTATCATTGTTCCTCTATTTAAGAAGGGTGATACAAGCGTTCCTGATAATTATAGAGCAATTTCATTGACAAGTATTTTAGGTAAAGTTTTTGCTATAGTTTTAAACAAGCGTTTAACGCTCTGGTCTAATGTTTATGATAAAATTCCAGAAAATCAGGCAGGCTTCAGACGATCATATTCACCTATCGACCATATTTTTACACTTTATTCTATTGTACAAAAATATCTTGGATGCCGGAAACGAAAACTGTATGTTGCATTTGTGGACTTCAAAAAAGCTTTTGATAGCGTTAATCGTTGTAAACTTTGGGATTGTTTGAGAAAAACGGGCGTTGGGGGTAAAATGTATAAAATGTTAAAATCTATATATGCAAATGTCAAATCATGTGTTCGTCACAAAAATGGTGTCACTGATTCCTTTGATTGCCCTATCGGTGTGAAACAAGGCTGCATTTTAAGCCCTCTCCTTTTCTCTTTCTTTATCAACGAATTGTCCCTTGAAATCCAACAAAACGGAAAACACGGTGTCCAACTTTATCCAGATATGTATGAATTGCTGATATTACTTTTCGCAGACGATGTTATACTAATTTCTGATACTGTTAATGGGCTTCAAACACAAATAGACATATTATTTCAGTATACCATCTCCTGGAAACTGACTGTTAATACAGATAAAACGAAAATTGTTGTTTTTAGAAAGGGGGGTCCTCTTGCATCCAGGGAAAAATGGTATGTAAATGGGCAACAAATTAATGTTGAAAAAACTTGTATATACCTTGGTGTCATTTTTCCTTTTAATCTGAAACTAAATCACCTCGTCAACGATCTTGCGCTACGAGCTAAGAGAGCCCTCATTACCTTATGTGTTGTTCTTGATAAACTCGGTGTGTCTTCCCCGTCTGTTTTCTTCAAACTTTTTGATTCTCAAGTTAAACCAATTCTGTTATATGGTTCAGAGATTTGGGGTCTCGAAAAATATCACATCTTGGAAAAAATTCACTTAACTGCTTGTAAACGATTCTTAAATGTTGGCAAATTTACCCCAAATTGTATGGTGTATGGTGAATGTGGAAGACATCCCTTATATATCTGTTCTTATGTACGCGGTCTAAAATATTGGTTAAAGATTATAGAAATGGCACCTGATCGTATTCCACGTAAATGTTATGAAATGCTGAAATACCGCGACAATGTTGGTTATATAACATGGGTCACTAAAATCAGACAACTTTTATTTCTTCATGGATTTGGATATGTTTGGATTTATCAAGGTGTTGGAGATAAGACAGCATTTCTTAGTGTATTTAAACAAGTTGCATCTGATATGTTTATCCAAGAATGGAGAGCTACATTGGAAAATAGTTCAAGATACGACCTTTATAAAACATTTAAATTCTGCTTATCTCCAGAACAGTACTTAACAGAAATAACAGACAGAAAACTAAGAGTGTGTTTTACACGTTTTAGATTAGGTTTGAACAATTTAGTATGTAATACGGGTCGTTTTTACTCAGTTTAAAAAAATATGCGTTTTTGTCCTTTTTGCCCCACATTTATTGAAAACGAATACCATTTTATGCTTATCTGTCCATGTTATGAATCGCTAAGAACAAAATATTTCCAAGGTTTACCCCAAAACATCAATACACTAATCAAGCTCCTCCGTTTTGATGAAATATCTAACGAGCAACAAAAGAATACTATCCTATACATTAATTATGGTTTACGACTTCGCAACCGTCTTTGTACAAATGATGTTTAATTATTCTTTAGGTTATTTGCCTTCATTAATCAAATGCTTTTATCTCTTCTTGTTGTGTTGTGTTGCGACTTATTTTTCACAAAATTGTACACGTACACATCTCTGTGCATATAAGTCTGCATGTTTATACTTCTACATGTACAAAATTGTATATATATAATGTTACTGTATGTATATGGGCCTATGGCCAGAATACAATAAATGATGATGATGATGAGTGAAGGTTGGTTGTATTATTCACCATCAGAGTGAAGGTTGGTTGTATTGTTCACCTGTACATGTACGTGCCTTTATATCGCCTCTAGGTCGGAGTCACTAATTCTGAAAATTCCAATAAAAGATAAGTGATAAGTTCCATGTTACATTGGGTGAGTGAGTGAGTGGGTGGGTGGGCGAGTGAGTGAGTAAGAGGTTTTACGCCGCATTTAACATTATCCCAGCAATATCACGGCGGGGGACACCAGAAATATAGAATACTAAACGAGCTCCCGTGTAATACCAATTTTATGAAACGAGTGAATAGTTCTGGTATCTGACGAGCGAAAGCGAGTCAGATACCACAACTATTCACGAGTTTCATAAAATTGGTTTTACACGAGAGCGAGTTTAGTATTTTATTTATTACTTGTCATTTATAATGTTTTTAGAATTATACTGTTGAGTGTAAATAGGCTGACACCTACACGATCCATGGCATAATCCAATTGAGTTTAACAGAATAATACTTCAAACACGTCAAAAGTTGAAACGTATGAATTTAATATCATACAATGGTCCACCTTTAGAATTCAGGCGTTCGTCCCACAAAATTATCGTAGTGCTAAGGCTATCACAACTCACATAATTTAACTTAGACTAACGACTGTCGTTGCGCTAGAGAACGATCGCCTTGTGGAACGGGGCCTTGCACCTCAAAGTTTACAATCACGTCACAATACCCGATGACGTAATTTGTTGAATTTTGTTGCAAGATCCATCGGCGAAACAATGCCATGTGACGTCAGCCTAGCAACAAGGTTGCTGGGGTCATCGAGTGTGCATAAGCTCCTCTCAGTGATCTATCATCACCACACACAATGTCGTTGAATACGCCAAGGGATGTTGAGAGCTTTCAATATTTGTTCTGGAAACGTGTTCCGGGAGTACATAAGCACGCGTTTTGGTATTACACAATGTGTAATAAAGCTGTATGTTTATTAAACGGGTGATCTCTTCACGGGCAAGTAATAAATAAGCTTCACACATTGTACCCATATCGGGAATCGAACCCGGGTCTTCGGCGTGACGAGCGACCGCTTTAACCACTAGGCTACCCGACCGTCCCGTAAGGGTGGGTGAGTGAATGAGATCGGAAGGGTGACTTGGAGACTGGGTTTTAGCGAGAGAGGGAATAAAAGGGCGTGGTTCGGTGAGTGAGTGAGTGAGTGAGTGAGTGAGTGAGTGAGGTCGATGGCAGTTAGTGAGTGAGTAGAGGTGGCTGGGTGAGAGAGAAGGTGCTTGGTGAGTGAGGGGGGTGTGACTGGGGGAGTGAGGGGTAAATCAAATCAAATCTGCCGCTGCTAGTGGATACACTAACACAATCACCCGATACAAGCTGACCCTGTAGTGTGTCCAGCGGTAGACAACATCGTCAACAACCACTAACCCTTTACACGCGGTACAGGTGTTGGGACGAACCCAGGCCTTCCTAGAGACACACTACCGAACCGTCCTGTACACGTGGGAACATGAACGATCGGTTCTTCTAGTGTTCTCACATTCGTCATTGCTTTATGGGGGTGACGCCCTGGCACGTGTATTAGTTTGAACAAAACCATCCTAATGTGTCACCATCGACACGGAACACACCGATCATTATTTGTAACCATGTGAATCATTAATACAACATTTAATGACGGACACAACCCTGATCAAACAACGACCTACCTTGACAGCATAAATGTCAAGACGATCACTGCTTCCTTGATCAGGGTATAGGGTGGTTCAAAGACCACCAGCTACTTCAGTGTCTAATCACGACACTGAAAACATAGCTTACTCATGAACTGTTTGCAAAATGATGCAACAGAAATTTTGAATACTCAGATTTGGAAAGCCCAGTGAATGGGTATTGAGACAGTACTCTGTCTTCCGTTCTGTGTCAACTATAATAATGGCGTGTGTACTCCACGTGAACACTTACACCTCTACAGCAATTGACTGCTGCCGTCGCGATGTGTTTGGATATACGATCCATACTTAAACACCTCTGTTTGATGGCGATCGTTGGTGTAAGTAAACAACAATTCTATGTATTGTTTTTGATTATGCAGTTGTTCTTATAACAACACAGTCAGGCAGTAAATCCTGCAAAGTTAATGAGGTGAGGTGAAATGGGGTTAAAAGTCGCATCCAAGATTATTGCACTTTTATAGCGACGTGCATGCACGTGTGTGTGTGTGTGTGTGTGTGTGTGTGTGTTTGTGTGTGTGTGTGTTTGTGTGTGTGTGTTTGTGTGTGTGTGTGTGTGTGTGTGTGTGTGTGTGTGTGTGTGTGTGTGTGTGTGTGTGTGTGTGTGTGTGTGTGTGTGTGTGTGTGTGTGTGTGTGTGTGCGAGTATGTGTGTGGCTGCTTGTACTAGTCCGCACTGATGCCGATGTTTTAGTGCTAGCCCACTGAGGTGCCATGCCGCAGTTTAACATGAATACCCCACTTAAACATGGTTAACGGACTTCGAGCTCACCAGTCCTTGTTCAGCGCCAGGCAGGGAAAGATACAAGTCCTACTTTTAAAGTCAATTTGTAGGACGCGGCCGGGGATCGAATCCCTTCTGCACTCCGGGCGGACGCTCTACCACAAGACCACGGAAGCTGTGGCAAATTGAAGGAAAACTATAATCAATATTTGCTGTAGGTATCATCAATGATGTGTGTTACTGAGTTTTAATATTAAACCATTTCTTCATGTAATGATAATGAAGATAATCATATTTTCGTCTTCTTCTGCTTCATCTCATTATTATTATTATTATTATTATTATTATTATTGTTATCATCTTCAGTGGACGTCCACCATCACACAAGGCAAGCAACACAGGGTAAAGACGTGTCGAGATCCCCCTCCCATGGAAGCGTCGTTCTACATGCTGCGGGAGTTCCACGAAGGCCTCGACTTGGACATCAGTAGAGAGAAACAGGTGCTCTTGTACGGAGCCAGAAGTTGCAAACAATCACTTCGGACAGCCCGGGACAAGGGCAATGGGTCATTTCCACTCTGTCCAGTCTTCTACAAACTCAACTATGACTCCGGCCGCGTACCGGAACTGATCGCAGAGGCGAAATGCGCATGCGTTGCCTGCGGGGGAACATACACTGGCCATTGCGCCGCCATATTCTATTATCGGCCTGTGTTGGAGCTGGTCGAGGCAAGGGGATGCTACAGGCGGGTTGTGAGGCGGTTTCAGAATGGCTGCGTGTGCAGGAGTCCATCCAGAAGTAGACTGAACAGAAGGAAGCCCCCTCGCAAGAGAAACAAGGCGTAATCTTAACATCGTGTGCGTCTCTTACGAGCCATGCTTTGGAGGTGCTGATCTTTGGAACTCTTGTCACCGCGTGTAAATTTTCTGACACAGCAAGGAGCTCCATGGTCTCGTGTCCATCTGGTCATTGTAATTTTGTCATGTGTGAGGCTTTGACATTTTCTATGTGTACATTGCACTGATCTGATAGATTGATGTACTGCATATCATGACATTAATGCATCACCAGTGCCAAGCCTTTGCCTGAAATGTCATGAAATTAATGCCAGTTTCCAATACTTTGAAATTTCAGAACTAAAATGAAAATAACAACATCAAGACTTCCTTAATATGTTACAGTGTTATAGCAGCATATGGTTCACAAACTTTACTTTGCACCTTCCCACAAATAATTCAACTTCCAGGGAATTAAGAGCAGGAACTTCCAATATAAGTCCTATTCTCGTCAACCGACAAAGTGAGTGAGTGAGTATGGTTTTACGCCGCTTTTAGCAATATTCATGAGCAGTGTGATATATTCACCATGACTGCTGTTACTTACCGGGCACTTTCACCACGTGGGATAGCGGTGTTTCAGAAGTATTCAATGCTTGTTTTAAAACTAGCGCTAGAATGGTTAACATCATCTGGTAATAGAATCCAAAGGCGGGTAGGAGCTGGAGGTTGATTGATGTCCTTGTTTCCCGCACGTGCAGTGACTCTGACGTGATACTTAACGACAATATGTCCACAAGTAATGATGCGTCACAACGTAAATACAAACAAGGAAATCTCGCTTTGTTTTGGGTATTAATTGCGTGCTCTCTTTCACGTCATGGTGCACGGTATGATATCGACAGTGCTCTCATTCACGTCATGGTGTACAGTATGATATCGACAGTGCTCTCATTCACGTCATGATGTGCAGTATGATATCGACAGTGCTCTCATTCACGTCATGGTGTACAGTTTGATATCGACAGTGCTCTCATTCACGTCATGATGTGCAGTATGATATCGACAGTGCTCTCATTCACGTCATGGTGTACAGTATGATATCGACAGTGCACTCATTCACGTCATGGTGTACAGTTTGATATCGACAGTGCTCTCATTCACGTCATGATGTACAGTATGGTATCGACAGTGCTCTCATTCACGTCATGATGTACAGTATGATATCGACAGTGCTCTCATTCACGTCATGATGTACAGTATGATATCGACAGTGCTCTCATTCACGTCATGATATGCAGTATGATATCGACAGTGCTCTCATTCACGTCATGGTGTACAGTATGATATCGACAGTGCTCTCATTCACGTCATGATGTACAGTATGATATCGACAGTGCTCTCATTCACGTCATGATATGCAGTATGATATCGACAGTGCTCTCATTCACGTCATGGTGTACAGTATGATATCGACAGTGCACTCATTCACGTCATGATGTACAGTATGATATCGACAGTGCTCTCATTCACGTCATGATGTACAGTATGATATCGACAGTGCACTCATTCACGTCATGATGTACAGTATGATATCGACAGTGCACTCATTCACGTCCACACAAAGACCACACATGGGTAGTCAAATTTGAAAAGCACGTTTTGAAGAAACTATGTTAGTCCCTTCAAATGTTTCCAATGGTATAAATTGACAAACATATTTTGACATATTCATGAAAGAGTTTATAATCAGACAGTTTAGTGAATGTATTTTTAATATTTACAAACATGAATAAATCATTATTGAATACCTGTGCGTCATGTAAATGAGTGCTTATTGTGAACGTATTCCCCAGAGACCGATCAAGGAAGTTGATATGTAAGGAGGGTATAGTGTTTATGTCCTCCCACTACGAACTACCATCACGGAAATACTTGTTAAGGTGTGAAAGGGTATGACTGTGAGAGTTAACTAGACCGTGTCTACTCTCTATCAAACACGTATTTTATGTATAGGTGTGAGAGGGGGTCAACCACAGCGTTAACTAGACCGTGTCTACTCTCTATCAAACACGTATTGTATGTATAGGTGTGAGAAGGGGTCAACCACAGCGTCAACTAAACCGTGTCTACTCCCTATCAAACACGTATTGTATGTGTAGGTGTGAGAGGGGGTCAACCACAGCGTTAACTAGAACGCGTCTACTCTCTATCAAACAGGTATTGTATGTATAGGTGTGAGAGGGGGTCAACCACAGCGTTAACTAGACCGCGTCTACTCTCTATCAAACACGTATTGTATGTGTAGGTGTGAGAGGGGGTCAACCACAGCGTTAACTAGACCGCGTCTACTCTCTATCAAACAGGTATTGTATGTGTAGGTGTGAGAGGGGGTCAACCACAGCGTTAACTAGACCGTGTCTACTCTCTATCAAACACGTATTGTATGTGTAGGTGTGAGAGGGGGTGGGGGGGTTGAATGACAGCGTTAACTAGACTGTGTCTTCTCTCTATCAAACACGTATTGTATGTGTATGTGTGAGAGGGGGTGGGGGTGGGGTGGGGGGTGGGGTGAATGACAGCGTTAACTAGACCGTGTCTACTCACTATCAAACACGTATAGTATGGGTAGGTGTGAGAGGGCGTCAACCACAGCGTTAACTAGACCGCGTCTACTCTCTATCAAACACGTATTGTATGTGTAGGTGTGAGAGGGGGTCAACCACAGCGTTAACTAGACCGTGTCTACTCTGTATGAAACACGTATTGTATGTGTAGGTGTGAGAGGGGGTGGGGGGGTTGAATGACAGCGTTAACTAGACCGTGTCTACTCACTATCAAACACGTATTGTATGTGTAGGTGTGATAGGGGGTGGGGGGGGGGGGGGGGGGGGTGAATGACAGCGTTAACTAGACCGTGTCTACTCACTATCAAACACGTATAGTATGGGTAGGTGTGAGAGGGCGTCAACCACAGCGTTAACTAGACCGTGTCTACTCTGTATGAAACACGTATTGTATGTGTAGGTGTGAGAGGGGGTGGGGGGGTTGAATGACAGCGTTAACTAGACCGTGTCTACTCACTATCAAACACGTATTGTATGTGTAGGTGTGATAGGGGGTGGGGGGGGGGGGGGGGGGGGGGGGGGTGAATGACAGCGTTAACTAGACTGTGTCTTCTCTCTATCAAACACGTATTGTATGTGTAGGTGTGAGAGGGGGTGGGGGGGTTGAATGACAGCGTTAACTAGACTGTGTCTACTCACTATCAAACACGTATAGTATGGGTATGAGTGAGAGGGCGTCAACCACAGCGTTAACTAGACTGTGTCTACTCTCTATCAAACACGTATTGTATGTGAAGGTGGGAGAGGGGGTCAACCCCAGCGTTAACTAGACCGGACCGTGTCTACTCTCTATCAAACAGGTAATGTATGTGTAGATGTGGGAGGGAGTCAACCACAGCCTTAACTAGACTGTGTCTACTCTGTATGAAAAAGGTATTGTATGTGTAGGTGTGAGAGGGCGTCAACCACAGCGGTAACTAGACTGTGTCTACTCTGTATCAAACAGGTATTGTATGTGTAGGTGTGAGAGGGCGTCAACCACAGCGTTAACTAGACTGTGTCTACTCTCTATCAAACACGTATTGTATGTGTAGGTGTGAGAGGGGGTCAACCACAGCGTTAACTAGACCGTGTCTACTCTGTATGAAACACGTATTGTATGTGTAGGTGTGAGAGGGGGTCAACCACAGCGTTAACTAGACTGTGTCTACTCTCTATCAAACAGGTATTGTATGTGTAGGTGTGAGAGGGGGTGGGGGGGTTGAATGACAGCGTTAACTAGACTGTGTCTTCTCTCTATCAAACACGTATTGTATGTGTATGTGTGAGAGGGGGTGGGGGTGGGGTGGGGGGTGGGGTGAATGACAGCGTTAACTAGACCGTGTCTACTCACTATCAAACACGTATAGTATGGGTAGGTGTGAGAGGGCGTCAACCACAGCGTTAACTAGACCGCGTCTACTCTCTATCAAACACGTATTGTATGTGTAGGTGTGAGAGGGGGTCAACCACAGCGTTAACTAGACCGTGTCTACTCTGTATGAAACACGTATTGTATGTGTAGGTGTGAGAGGGGGTGGGGGGGTTGAATGACAGCGTTAACTAGACCGTGTCTACTCACTATCAAACACGTATTGTATGTGTAGGTGTGATAGGGGGTGGGGGGGGGGGGGGGGGGGGGGGTGAATGACAGCGTTAACTAGACCGTGTCTACTCACTATCAAACACGTATAGTATGGGTAGGTGTGAGAGGGCGTCAACCACAGCGTTAACTAGACCGTGTCTACTCTGTATGAAACACGTATTGTATGTGTAGGTGTGAGAGGGGGTGGGGGGGTTGAATGACAGCGTTAACTAGACCGTGTCTACTCACTATCAAACACGTATTGTATGTGTAGGTGTGATAGGGGGTGGGGGGGGGGGGGGGGGTGAATGACAGCGTTAACTAGACTGTGTCTTCTCTCTATCAAACACGTATTGTATGTGTAGGTGTGAGAGGGGGTGGGGGGGTTGAATGACAGCGTTAACTAGACTGTGTCTACTCACTATCAAACACGTATAGTATGGGTATGAGTGAGAGGGCGTCAACCACAGCGTTAACTAGACTGTGTCTACTCTCTATCAAACACGTATTGTATGTGAAGGTGGGAGAGGGGGTCAACCCCAGCGTTAACTAGACCGGACCGTGTCTACTCTCTATCAAACAGGTAATGTATGTGTAGGTGTGGGAGGGAGTCAACCACAGCCTTAACTAGACTGTGTCTACTCTGTATGAAAAAGGTATTGTATGTGTAGGTGTGAGAGGGCGTCAACCACAGCGGTAACTAGACTGTGTCTACTCTGTATCAAACAGGTATTGTATGTGTAGGTGTGAGAGGGCGTCAACCACAGCGTTAACTAGACTGTGTCTACTCTCTATCAAACACGTATTGTATGTGTAGGTGTGAGAGGGGGTCAACCACAGCGTTAACTAGACCGTGTCTACTCTGTATGAAACACGTATTGTATGTGTAGGTGTGAGAGGGGGTCAACCACAGCGTTAACTAGACTGTGTCTACTCTCTATCA